AGGCCTGGGCTATAATCCTGGCTTCAGGTTCTAACACTCACCCAATTCCAACTGCTGTGAGCACTGAGGAGTTAGCCAACGGATAGGGACTCCCTTTGTCTATTGATTGTCTTTCATATAAATGGATGGTTTGTAAAAAGGACAAATATATGCTAGCAAGGGAAGTCTGCTATGCTAACGTTTAAATTGATTAGACTTTGTAAAACTCTGTTTGGAAGACTAATGTCCAATGTCATAATTTCTGATATTTGGTCATGTGTTTCAGATTTCCTGTACTGCCAATCTTTCAGTTTCTTGTGTTCTACTTTTACATACCACCTGAATCTTAAGGTGCAGTACAGCTCTTTCTCCACATTTTTAAACATCACTCTCCCAAGTCACTTGCATTTGTAAGGACAATCATTCCTTTCATGGTGCAAGAAGCAGTGTGGTTAAATTATAGACTTAAGATCTCATCTTTGTATATAAGAAGGTTTTGAATGAAAACGATTCTTTCTGCAAGAATTCTGATGACAGTTGTTAATGTTAGAATTATCAATTTTCACCTATGTAAACATCCTACCTCCTGTGACTAAACTTACTTACCAGTTTTCACTCCTCTTTGCTTCTCAGTGCTCCCTCCTATCTGTTCACTTATATCCTTAAAGATGTCCCTTCCATAACACTTCCTTTTAAAAAAAATTTATCTATTTGAAAGTTGGAGTTACAAAGAGGGAGAGGCAGACAAAGGCAGAGACCTTCTGTCTTCTGATCCACTCCCCCAGTGTCTGCAAACACCATGGCCGGGCCAGGCTGAAGGCAGAAACCGTGAGCTTCATCCGGGTCTCCCATACACGTGTATGAGCCCTGGTACCATCCTCCTCTGCTTTCCCAGGCACATTAGCAAAGAGTTGGAACAGAAGGGGAGCAGCTGGAACTGAAAAAATTGCCCATATGAGATGCCAGAGCTGCAGGTGGTAGCTTAAGTCACTACATCACGGTAAGTGACCCTAACAGGATACCTCTTTGCATGTTCGTGGCTCACAACTTATAATTGCCGCCAGAATCATTTCAGTAGCTCTTTGCTGGGAATCTTTAGAGCTTTCTCCCCTCAGCCCTCGATTGTACAATATTTAGCTGCTTTTTTTTTAACTCTAATCATTATAAAGGTACTTCTATATGTCAGCTAGAACAAATTCACTAATGCATTTATATTTGTTTTTCAGAATTTATAATGTACATGGAAGAATAAATAAAGACCACTCATGATTTTAACTAGATAAAACTTTAATGTAGCAAAATACTGAGGTACCTGGTTATAGTTTTCCTTAAATATAAACTTCGCTAAATTAAAGTTCTTCGTGCAGCAGGAAGTTGCCATTTCGATCCAATTTGCCGTAACTCTCTTTCCTTGTTGTAATTCTGTTTCATTTAAAATAGTTATCATTCACTGAAAAAAATCTTGAAATTAATCAGTGCCCTTTCCATGTTGTTCCCCCTTTTGATGACAACATACAGTCCTTTTTCAAGAGCTTTGTAATCTAACTCCTGTAGGTCTTCCAGAAATCTACTTAATTCCTTCCATGTTTCAGCAACTCTACTCAGTACCTTGCTCTCACAGTATCTTTACTGTATCTTTACCCAGATGGATGCAGACAGTTGCATATCTACACTCTAGTACTCAGCTTTGTATCTCCAAAAATCCGTTTCACATGATAGGTTCACAATATATGCTAGAGGGAAGTTAGCAAGCAATAAGACAAGAAAAATTTTCACAATTCCTAATCACACTTAATCTTAGCCAAAAGGCCAAGAAGCAATGCACACAATTCCTAATCAGACTTCTACCAGTAAGAGAGCTTCTGAAGGGAGCAAGATTCCCTGGATGTATAAATAACCCATAAACATAAAAGTAAATCATGTTTGTTAATTTCTTAGAGATATATCAATAACCTGAGAAGTTTCATCTTCCCGCACCCAGCCAAACATTATTCCAATTTTATATTGTCCAAGCATATATCCTAAAGTTTGTTTTTTTAAAAGCTTCTGTATTTTCTACTCAAGCCTATCTGTTACTGAAATTTTGGGGAATATTGTTAAAGAGAGTAAGTAATCCTATTAATCTTTTTCATCATCAGGTGAAGACAAAAGAGCATGGTATTTTATAGGACATGATATAGGTGTCCTTGGCTCAATCACTGTCCATAAGATGGACTGAATGTTCCAGCTCTGTATTTTTCATGATTACTTCTATAACAGCAGCCTTACATGAAAGACTATCACAATGGAGGAAGCACAATATGCCATATGCAACATCATATTATCAACAAGAAAGGCAAATCAGAGGTAGCATAGGAAAGGCATTCAGTTGAAGAGGGATAACATCCTTGGAAAGTGTAGGCCCTCAGTGCATGATCATTAATGCAATAAAATATGTCTATCAATGAAAATGCTAGACAAGTCATTTTATAAATTATATACTTCATTGCCAAGCCAACTCAAGGAAAGATGATGATGGTTGTGATGGTGGTGAACCCTCTAGAGAGGTAAAGAAACTAATTTATTCAGGGTCACATAGTTACTGAGTAATGGGTTAAAATTCAAATCCATCAAGACAGATGGTGAAGGTTTCATGTTAGCTTATTTCTACTGCCGTATGTGTTATATGGGGCTGGATTAGAAAATGACGAATTATTTACCAATAAAAGCATATTGGCATGGTAACTCAAATGTAGAAACAAGTATGCACATTACTTAAAAATTCACTTAGATCTCTGTAGTAAAGTTTTAGTTCACTACTGTGATATGCTTAGCCAAGAGGTTGGCCTTTCTTTTGTGTAAGTCTATAACTTGTGGTCTCAGGCATATGTTGTTAGAAACATTGTGAGCAGTTCTTCACAGTAAATGTACAACAGCTAGGCTGACATGAGGCAATGCCTACTAACCAAGGTAGACACAGATGCTTGGCTCAGGAACGTTCAATGAGGGTTAAAGGACTCTTGCAACTCCAGCAAATTATTGTGCCCTCTGGTAGTGTAAGAATCTATGCATCACTCATTCAGTTCTCTAAAGAATATAAGACAAAAAACTGGAAACATTACAGAATCAACAGTCAAAACAGCCAGGAGATAGAGCAGCATTTCTTTCTGGGATGCACTCACACAAATATCAAATAGCATGTGGTTCTATGTGATTAATTTGCTTTGAAATTCTACATACTTGCTCCATACATTTAAAGGTATCAGTGCAGTGAAGCCTGGGCAGCACCCAGCTGCTGGACAGATCCATTACTCAGCAAGCCTTCACAATTCCTGGCAATAATGGAATGGTGGATTCAGCTTGGGACACCAAGACATACTCATGCACTACCCAATGAGAATCTTTCCTCTTCTAAGAAGTTATCAATTAATGTCTTACATCACTACTAAAGCATGACTACCATGTGTGAAGATTCCACTGCTGGTTTTCCAAAGCTAGAAACCATATGAAACTCTGATTAACGGATGCTAATCAACCTTAAACACAGCAGAATGAATATCTCCTCTAATATGCTCAAATCAGTCAGCACGTGCTCTATTACACATATAATTAGTCTCAATTAAAGTATTCTTCTTATTTCTTGTGTGCTTGTGTCTTCTAAGTATTTCAATTTCCCTAACTCTTCAACACATACGTAAGAAAAGAAAAAAGAACATGGAACTGATGGTCTACTGAGTTGTTTCTTTCTGAAGAGCGAAGTATGCTAATCCAAATATGTGGGGAAAAAAATGAAAGAGGTTTCATTCCTATGTCTGTACCAAAACAGAACAAGGTGACAGAATATAAAGATAATTCACATTTTTTTAGGGAATGCATTTTAATAATGTAGTGTTCTTAGGATTAATGTCACATTGGATTTATATACATATACATAACATCTTCAAAAAGAATCAGGAAAATAGTGATTTTTCTCTATCAACTTTTCCCAAATAGTTTTTTTTTATGCTTTAAGATCAAAAGTATCAATTATATACAAAATCTAAGGCCTGCAGTAAAGTTTATGAATGTTAGTCATACAAATAAGATAAAATTTTTGAGAAATTAGCATTTAAAATATTATAGTTTCTGATATTATTTAAACTGGGTATAAAATTTTAAAAAATCATTCCCTTTAAAAGTACTGAGTATTTTTATAAATTTAAAACAAATCAAAAGTACTCAGGGCCATTCTGAGCTATTGAAAGGAGCAGGTGTATTCAGAGGTCCTGTGTTCCTCAAGCATTGTGGATACCAGACTGGTAGTTTATAATATGTAACTGGTACAAGTTTCCAAATTGTTTGGCTTCTATATTGAAGCTGACAATGATAAGAAACTTCAATGGGGGTAGATAAAAACAAGGAATTATCTACTAGGATCTGTATAGATTTGACCTGATTGGCTTAATGTTCTATTAGTGACAAAGTCAAAAGTGATCTGAAGGTTAGAATATGGGGGAAATGTGAGCTATTAAGATGACAATGTCATACTGTCAGAGATTATATGCTGGGACACATGTGTGAATTATACAAACCTTTTCTATATTTTAATTATTTCCATGAAAACAGGTAAATTCCAGCTAGCCAGTAAATGCATAAAAAATGGAATGAAGAATGTGCCTCTAACTGGCAGAAATCCATATAGATTTTATAGTATAATTAATAGCTTTAAAATGTAATACAAGCTATCCAGAGCAACATAGTTTTAATCTACTATCTAAAAATATGAGGTTAATTGAAGATTATATTATACTAGAAAATAGATAATTTGAAATAGTTTCACTTATTAACAAATTGTAGATAGTTTAATTGATAACTCAAATCTGTCTCATAATTCTTAGTAATGAAGAATGTAAATGAAACTCAATCTTCAAATAATTCCCCACTATTCTTCCTACTTTATGTTTGAAAGTTATATCGCTAAATGCATATCTGTATACATATTTGGGAAAAATAAAATAATGTAAAAAACACAACAACACGTCAGGTCAATTTTTTTCCTAATATTTAATTTTAATGAATGAACTTTAAATGGTATATGTACTATCAATCCAAGTCTTTGCTTATTTGTAATGCACAACTATTTCTTTTTAACTTGTGGATGAATTACATTCTTTTGCTCATGGGTAACATGTTCACCCTTACTTAAGGTCTTGTTCTTTTACTTTTCTTCTTAAGTCCTTTTTTCCTTCAATAGTTTCACAGGTCACTTCTGGTTTGTCTAAATAACAATCCTAGCACAATAATGCTTCAACTTGCAAGGAAGAACACCTTTATTGAGCTGATAGAACTCCACCAACTGAATCAGATCTGTAAATCTTGTGTGTCCATCATCTAGTGTATGGAACATTGCACCGTTGTCTTCAACCTGCAGGAGGAAATTTAATAAGGTGGTCACAATTTGGTTAAGTTACCTAGCAGGCCATCCTATTCCATTCCATCCATATCCTTCCTATGCAAAAAGTGGTAAGTTAATATAACTGAAAGACACTGAAAAGGATGTATAGCAAGTCCAGTTCTTGGAATTGCATTTAAAAATATATAATCTGATCCTCACTGAAAGCTGTGTAGTTCTACTTTATGACCTATAATTACTCCAAACTTCTGTGTAGTTGGGGAAATGTGACTGTTTTGAATCAATGAACAGTGAGAAAGCTATAGTACTCAGATAAAAGTAAACAGAACAGTTTAATGCCTCCACTTACAGAAATTAATTTCCATTTCTAAATGTGGTCTACTTAACAGCCTCACTTAGTATATTTAAAATGAATATTCACATAATTTCCATCAGCAAATTGATTCTGAGGCAATCAAATATTATACTAATGGAATGTCAATTGTCTTCTTTTTGGCACTAAAGTAGTTTAGCTTTAAACAATTTATACTTGCTGGGGACATTGATCACATACTCAATGAAGAAGAGAATATATTTATATACTCTCTGGATAATTACCAAAAGGAAAAAAAATCAAAAGTAAGCATGAACAATTCAATAATCTTAAGAAATTCTTTCCTGAAAAATAGACTATATCTTCCAAAAGGTAGTTCCACAGACAGACACAGACAGACACACACACACACACATACGAGCAATAACCACATCAGCAACAATAAATGTAAAACAATACCAAAGAAAACTTTCATCTGTAACAGAATTACAGAAAAATTCTAAATGTCCTCAGAATAGTTTCAATGTCCAGCAGTTTCATAGCACCTAAATTTTTATCCATAATGATTAAAAACAAAACAACAATGAAAAATCAATTTTAAGAAAATGGAAGAGAAAGAGCCTTAAAATAATGTTTTCTAAAGACCCATTAGTAGAATCCAGGAGAATGTATCTTTAGTGGCCTTTTAACAATAGGTGGCATGGGGTCTATACAATATTGCTAAATCACATTTCATGGAAAAAGGGAAATTTAATTTTTACAATTCCTGTATTTCTTGTATTAATTCAGGCTCATAAAACCATTTCTGCCAAACTTAACTTTAGTCAAAGCACAAGCTCCCAAATTATATTTAATAAAAAGAACAAAAGAAAACTAAAGTTTCCAAAAGCTTATGCATTAAGATCATCTCTAATATACGAATGTAAAATCACAAATTACTTACTGGTATAATTTGAAAGTGCTTTATTTTTTGTCCATGACTCATTGACAGTACAAAAGTTTTGGGGTTACTCTGACTATCTCGTACCAAGAAAACTCTACAAAAAGAAAAAAGGTATTTCAATGTTTCTGCATTTACTCATGGATTTCACAGAATTACAATGTATGAGCTGTGGACCCTTAACTGAGTATGCAATGGGTATGGCTACTCAACCAACTCAACCAGTAAATGATATGGCATAATGTAAAACACCATCTTATATTATAAAACTTGCCTTGGTGTTAATGTAGTTTCAACAGAATATAAACCTATTATATTATTTGCTTCCAATAACCAATATAATAACATGCTGGCATCAATAATTAGTTCTTTGTCCCTTTTCCACAGGAAAAATGGATATACATGTATAATTTTTTTACTCAAAAAACAAATCATTAGTGTATTATTATTTTATAGCTTCTGGGTCACATTAAGCCCCTCTCTTCAAACGAGCTAATGGCTTATTATTAAATCATTTTTATACTTTCTTTTACACTGGATGCTCTTTCTTCATTTAAGTTTGATTTCTAATGTTACACACATACACAAAGAAAGCAAGAAAAGAATATAGTCTGAACAATCAATCCTGAAATCATTTATTAAGTGTTTAAACACAAATGTTTTCAGTAAAAGAAATGCCCAAATAGCATGCACTTTAATTTGGAAGAATGCAGTGCAAAAGCCCAATAATGTCGGGCTAGACAAATCAGACATAGCCTAATGGCCTAAGAGAAAAAAAGGCTGCCAGACACGTATTCTTATTTACTGGCAAGGCAGTATAGAATCAGTCATGCACTTATTATTGGCAAATGCACTGTGTAAACACTCCCCACTGGTGCTTACAATACTAATTTCACTGTGCCTAGACCAAGAGGAACCAAATTTGAAGGATCACAGAAGACTGGGATATTATCCACTCCCCTTGTGCTGTGTGAGATTCTGACATTGCACCAGTAGGAGTTAGGACAAAAGGGCATTTCTCCAGCAAAATTGATCCATAATTCTCTCCCCATTCTCAAAACAGATCATCACTACCACCTAGTGGACCACTTCACACTACCTTTCCAAAGGAATATGATTAAGAAATAAACATTTAAAAGATCATGTTATTCTTCATAATATTATTTTATTCAATTTACACAAATGGGGCTCAGGAGCAAAGGAAATGAAAACTCTCCAAACACTTCCATTATTCTATGTCATTTATTTGCTTGGTCTCAATAGATTGTGGTTTTGCTGCTGTTCAAATTTATACCCCAAAAGACTGCATTCCATGGAGAGAAGCATATTAAAATCTCTCATACAGAGTCTGGTGAAATGCTGAATTGCTGTTAATAACCTTTCATGAGAAGAAACATTTTTATCCAAATGTCAGTATTAAATTGTTTCAAATCCCTGTCATCTTAAGCCAACTTTGAAGATAATAGAGCCCATCACCACTTGTTTATAAACTGATATTGCTTTCACTTCTCAACCAAACTGCAATACAACCTTCCATATTTATGTGCATGTGGAAAGGAAATTTAGTAGATATTATGAAAAACAACTGAAATATTGAGCAATCTATGAAAGGAAATAATTTTTCAGAAAATAAATATTCCATAACACATTTAACATTTCTCTTGAATATCCTGTTAGTGATAACAGCAGAAAGAGAAAAAAAAAAAACCACTATTCTCTTAGACTTGTGCTATTTTATTCATGTTATTCAGTCAATTTATGTTAAAATTTAAGATAAAGTAAACAGAAAAAATGTTCATTATAGATATACACATACATACCTAAAAACAAATACAAGATAAAATCATGACATGAAACATATTTCGGAATTATAATTACATATTTCACTCAAAATGGTGACATTCAAAACAATTTCAGTTTTCCCCTCACCAGTTAATATAGGAGATGCTACAAATGGCATAAAATTGTGACACTGGTGGAGAACAAAGCATCCTGTTTTGTGTTATCTGTTCATTTATACACAAATGCTAGGCACACGCTATGTTAAAGTATTATAAAGACACTTATGAAATACAAGAGCAACAATTTTTATAAAAAATCTCTTTTGCATTACAATGAGCCCAAACTGAAATCCTCTATGTGCATGTCGTGCTGAACAAATAAATACCATGTACAGGATTCTGTCAAGACTAAAAACATCAAACATACCCATCTACAGATCCTTGCTGAATAATCAGTCGTTGAGCTTCCTCTCTAGAAATTCTGTGGTGAAACCATGGTTGGGAGCGGTGGATAGCTGAAGAAATAAAATGCATGAGTGCAAAGCTTTGAAGTGATCACAATTACACTGCATGTACTTTGAACCACGTCCACTCGGTAACTATACCTACAGGCCCATTGATCCAACAGTTCAGTCACAACAACTACCAACAGACATACCCAAGGTTGCGGCTGAACTCTGCAGAGAAGCAGTGGGACTACCATGGATGCCCAGGCGTAAGCATCCTTTTTTCTGAGCAAGAAAGAGAAAACAAATATCAACTTTCTAGACAAGACTAACTCAAATTGTAGATGTTTTAGAGAAAGTGATGCTATATGTACCCTCCAAGCCAGTCCTTCTTCGACTGCAACAGAAAGGGCTTCTGTCGGGTTTTCTATAACTCTGCTTTTCTGACCTGAGAAGTCCATGGCTACCAGGGAATTCTCTGATATACTTCTCTGGAAAAAGGAAACATATTTGAACCATAAACATGTTTCTTAAAATTATCATTTAATGCTTTGTTTAAAAATACATTTTCATTCTAGGATGGGATTTCAAATGTGGCAAGCAAGAAATCAATAAGTTAAAATGCTATAGTAAATTTAGGAAAAAATATGGTGCTTTTATAACTCTTTCACTAAATAAATTACACAGTTATTTGTTAAGGTCATTGAGTTAAGTGTAGAAAAATGTTTTAAAGGCTTTCCTTAAAACATGTATCTTACTTCTAGAACAACTGTATCTTAATATTCTGTAGTACAATAGGAAGACTTTAAATAAATCTTTTCCAAGGTTGAAAACAATCATTACTTCTAAGTTCATCTACTAAATTTTTGTATATATCAATTACCAACAAAATGTCAATCCACCTAGTTATGAAGCATGAGAATCATCATGCACAAAAACCATAACCTAGAGTGACTTGTAACATCTCTGTAGAAATAATACTCTTATTTAATATTGGAGCAAACTATAATACATATTTTGAAAGCTTATCACATCAATTTTCACCATATATAGAGAATAAAATTTGTGTGTAATAGCTTGATAATTCTATATTAAGATTTCAGTGGTTTAACAAGAGAGCATTTTTATTTTTTAAAGATTTACTTGTAAAAACACAGAATCATACAGAAAGAGCTAGTCCACTCCCTGAAAGCCTGCCACAGCAGAGCCTGACCAGACCAAAGCCATGGAGTCAGGAACTCCATTAGGATCTCCCTGTGAGTGGTACAGGATTCAAGTTTTTGAGCTGTCGCTTAGGAACTTTCAGGGTGTACAATAGAAGGAAGCTTGATCAAAAATGGAGCTGAAACTGCATCCCAGGCACGCCAATTTGAGTTTTGTGTGTCCTTAGCGGTGAGTGGCTTACATCACCATGTCACCAATGCCTGCCCACCTGAAAAAATTATGTCTAAATGATGAAATGATAGGAAACAATGCATTTTAATCAAATATAATTTAAATAAATAATAAAGTTATTGATTGATTCACTCATTACTTTTTGCACTTACATTCTCTCGGATAAAAATAAAATATTCAAAACCTGGCTCTTATTTTTTTGTTTGTTTAGGGCTATACTTGACAGACATATTCTACAAAATTTACTACCATAAAACGAGTCATGAATACTATAAATAAAAATAGACAACTGTCAGAATATCTAATTAGGAATCTCACTCAATTTATATGATGTGAGGAAAAATTAAAACTCCTGAGGAGGAAAAAAAATTAAACCTATGAAAAATTATTTAATAGTTATTCTCTGCTAATTTATGCAGGAGTGAATTCAAAAGTGGAATTACAATGGCAAAGTATGGATCATTCTGCATTGAGGAACTCACGGCTTCAGTTGTTTCATATTTACATGGATTCAGTCATTTTTGCATTTGTAACTACAGGTCAAACGTAGGTTTCAAACAAAGCTTCAACCACACACACACAAAAGAAATTTAGAGTCCTTTATCACTGCATCACACATCCCACTTGCTACTATTTCTTATTTTCTCTCCAAACCATGCTGGAATGCCCCAGAATCTTATTATGGTTCATCTATATGTCTAGAGATCTGGCATGCAATCTCTCATTTGTTACAGGAGCTTTTATAACTGACAGCTGCTCTTTCAGACAGATGCTGTCTCTGTAATCTCTATTTGCTGTCACACCTTCGTTTGCCCTTCTCACCCCATGATCTTCTGTGCAGGGCTGTGGACTGGTTGGATACACTTTTGCTTTGCCAACATTAATGAAAAGCGTCCACCTGCCCCAAGCACAGTTACTAGCCTCAGTTGTAGTGATCGCTTTATCCTTTGAATCTCTCTAGCTCCACACGCCAAGATGGATTCTGTAATCTGAAGTTTCTGATAGCATAAAAATGCGGTTAGGACAGAAAAATAAATAGCATCAGCTATTCCTTTTTACAATGTCTCATTCAGTACAAAATGTAAAACAGGGTTCCATGTTCTATAATTATGTGACATGTATAGGGAAACCACACTACAAAGGAAAAATATTCTGATTTGTTACCTTAACTACACTAAAGGAAAAACACAGGAATAAGGCAAGTGTTTTCTACTGAATGGCAGCTGGTAGATGAAAAATTAATAGCTTACCTTTTGTGGACAAAGAAATGGAAGTAAAGCAGAGTCTGACTTAAAACTCAAAAGGTCATTGTCAGCTCAATTTCTTTCTCATAGGAAAGTAATTTGGTTGGACTTCAGAACCGCTTGTATTTCTCAAATATTTGTCCCTTTTTCTAGCACTCTCAGGGAAAAAATAGGACAGAACCAAAATAAAAGAATCCATGATTTCGAAGGCCTGGCTTTCCCCCTAAGACGGAGGCTCTAGTATACCCTGTGTTACCCAGGCTACACGATGAGGTTACATCTATTCATTCTCAGTGAGGTATACAAGTAAAACATCTACTCTGATGGCAACTAGTATCCAACCACACACGCTGCCATCTTTTCTGAAGGATCTAGATAAGCTTATAAAGCTGTCATCTGCAGAAAAGAACAGGACTCCAAAGATAAAATGCACTCTAGAGATTATGAGACCATTCCTCTGTTCATCCTGCAGGGCGCCAGTGGCTTGACTAAGGTGTCACACACAGCTTGTGGTAAAGAAGTAACACATAAGAAACTGCAGCTAAGAACGTCTGTGCCTGATTACGAAGGGCTATGCTATTGTAATGTAATGCTATTGTAATAGGGAAAATAAATGTGAGAGGGTGGGAATTTGGGGAAGGGAAGGGAAATCCCACATCCTGTGGAACTGCATCATAAAATCATAAAATAAATAAATTCAATATTAAAAATGACTACTCCAGGGTCAAAAATGAAGGAAAAAACATGACTGATCTTTGCCCTATCTTCTAAGTCCAGCTTCAGGGCCATATTAACAGCACCTAACCCATGGCTGTATTAAAAGATGGTACTATAAATGAAAGTTTTTTCCTCATTTTGAATGCTGATAATCGTGGCTGCTATGTGCTATACAGGGTTATGATGTTCATTACCATATAGGAATGTCATCTTTATTTTTCTCCTCAAAAGAATTATCTATGAAAATGTGAGAGACATCATTGTTCCTTTAAATAGCTAACTATAATAGATGAGTTTTCTTTGTTGCTCACTGAAAACGGTCCCTCCCTAGTGACTGGGGCAGGTAGGGTACTGGGATCTACCAGATCATTAGTTCTTCCACATTAGTCTAGAGGAGTATAAACTCTGTAGACACCAAAGCAAAGACAAACACCTTAAAGAATGCCTGAGTTGTTTTCAGGGACATTCAGAGGAGCAGAGATGTAAATCTCAAACACCATCCTCTCTGATCATTAAAACCCCCCCAGAGGACAGGTCTTGACCACAAAGGCACTGGATGCTTTTCTGTGATAGTCCCTATTCCAGCGAGATTCTCTCAGGGAATGACTTTTGGTACCACAACAACCCAACTGTCATGCACGTGTGAGCAGCAGCAGCCCCCTCTCCATGGAATATGGCAAGACCACACCTGTGTGCCAACAAAGTGATGCCAACAGAAAGCACTCTATCGGATGCCTAGTCGTGATTAGTAAGTTCACTCTAAAAGTATAGAATTTGAAAAAAATTTGGAGGGATTTAGGAAAGGATTAAGATAATAAAATCTACTATTCTTTCTACATAATTAGGGATTGAAAAACAAGGAAGCCGGCAAATTATAGAAATATTCACCTTAGAATGCTTTTATAAAAATTCATTACATTTCTTAGTTTCTTATTGTAGGACTTAAAAGCAATGATACAAAGATGAGAAGTTGCAAATTTAAAGTACCATAATGATAAAATTGGAGTTGCTTTTCTCTCTAGTTTATCAGCTTTCATAATCAACATTATTTCATGCCTCATTCCTAGAACTGAGTATTTCATCTGCTACATTACATGTAGGGTAAATGTGCCTTCCTTGGCCACAGCCATGAAGAGCATATTTTTAACCTCAGTGGAAATGCAGTTTTCAAAAATACACATGAGCTGATTTGTAACACAGGCACATACATCTGAATTTCCAATATACTCAATATTAACAAGTGTAGCAAAAATAGTGGAACACAAACTAAAAGTTCAGAAATAAAGTCCTTGTGGTAATGCATGGGAAATTAAAGTTAGAACCAAAAGAAGGGAAAAGATAAATCAGAGTGTGTCTGCAAGTAAATATCCAAGTTACATTTAGCATAAATCTGAGAAGCAGCACTGGAGTTAATGCAATGTACGACCTATGTTTTGTCTTGCAGTTTTTGGGTCTCCTGGAAAGCAGTCTGTTTTATAAGAGCCTAGAACTTAAAAAAAAAAAAAAGAAAAGAATTGCTGTTAGATAGCCAGAAGGCAGAAAAGCTCATACGTGTACATACTGCCGCTTTTAGCCTTCCGAGTCACTGGCAGCTCTCCACTAGGGTATGACAGTTTCAGAATCAATATTAAAATAAATGAACCCACCATCAAAACTAATCACTAAGAAAACATACTCTTCAGTGACTAGGAAATATTCTACAAACCACCTACTTAAGATCAAAGACTCATACATCGCAATAATAGAGAATAACACACAAAATAATTCTATATAAGTATAAAATTATTAATGTAGAATGTTATGCACATCAATGAAAAACATCCACTGTGATTTTTATCACACAAGCTAAAAACACAAAACTCAAGGATTAAAAATTTCAATATAACATCACACAAAAATGTTTTCAGTTACTCTAATGTATAAAAAGGAAAGAATAATGTATCATAATGTACATTGATAATTACAAGTCGATATTCTACAACTATAAGATACGGCATACGTTCCAAGACACAGTGCTTACCAGGGGTGACAGACTCTGAGAGCTGCAGCCACTTCTACCTTGAAATGGATGTATGTAATTCTGGTAGAGCTGCATGCCATACTGCAGAGGAAACAGATAAAAACACATTCCCACCACTTTTACTGCACTGGTAATCTACAAAAATCAACATAGTCATAAATTACATATTAACAGTACAAGAAAGAATTATGAGCTTTCCATAAGGAAAATAAAATGACAATAATTTTTAAACATAGTTTGATGCCCTGAAATAACATATTGAAAAAGAAATTTATTTTTTTTACTTGGATCCACAAGTTAAGGTCTAGTTCACCACTATTAAAATCAAGCAACTGGTATTTCTACTCATTATGCATAGCAGCAAATAGTACCACAACCAACTGGAGTTACTCAGTGACAAGACAGTTCACACAAAAACAGTGTCACCCATTGTGGTACAAAAATAAGTATGAATTATAAATACATTATTAGAGAAACACTGAGTTTGCCACACTTTTCAAGGAGGCATTTCTAACTGAAGTTGGAAACTACTTTCTTACATTGGAGCCATTTCACACAAAAGAAAGCAACATATAGGTAACCCCCTCCTAACACACGCACACACATACACAGATCCTTCAACTACTGGCAATCCTCAAACACTGGCTCGCTCTTCAAATGCCTGTAATAGGGCTGAGCAAATCCAAAGCTTGGGAACCAGGAACTCATTCTCTGTTTCCCACAGAGGAGGGAAGAACTCAGCTACTTGAGCCATCCCTGCTTCCATCTCCCTTGGCATGCTTTAGCAAGAAGCTGGAACACAGAATGCAGGCCGGAACAAGAGCCCATGCACTCCAACCAAGAATGTAGGCCCATCTATTAAAATTCACCTTAGTGAGTTTTTAGATCCTAGAGGTAAGCATTTAGGCTACAGCTTTAAGACACCAGCAGTCCACATTGGGTTGGAGTCTGAAACTCCTGATCCACTTTTCTGCTAATGCAGAAACAAGGGCATGTGGTAGGGGTAGGGAGTAGTAATGGTTCAGATGATTGGATTTTTGCCAGACCCATGGGATAACATATGATTCCTGGCACCCAGTTTCAGTCTGGTCCAGTTACACACATTGAGAACATTTAGGGGAGTAAACCAGCGGAAGGAAACTCTATTTGTGCTTCCCCAACTCCCACTCTCTACCTCACCAGTAAATAAGTAAGCATAAAAACTTCAGGAAGTTCCATGTCCAGTTCCCTGTCTCCACCTCTGCTCAGAGCTTATACATGGTACAGGTGTATGTGTTACATTTTGGACCTTGCAGCTCAAGCCAGCAACTGGAACCTATGTATTACTAAGGGTATATGTATAGAAGGCAAGAATGAGACCCTTCGGGAAGTAGAATACACCACCATCAACCCCATGTCAGACCGTGTTAACTCTTTTCTATGGCACCTGCAGAATTCCTGATGCTACAAGCAGCAGGGATTTGAGTAGCAGACATGCCTTTTCCCCCAGCATCAGTTCTGAGAGCCTCTGGTGCTATCAGACCCCACTCCAAACCCATCTCTCTGGACCAGATTCTGCCCTAGGGCTTAGGCCTGCCTGATACCTTCTCCAGAGTAGGCTGCCTTCAGTCTGCCTGGGCCATGGGGAGGCTCTCCCTTGACCAGCCCTTATTTCCCAAATCCTCTACTGAAACCAGTTGTCAGTCTATGTTCCACACACTTTTTTGCCCAATTACTGAGTGCCTAATTCCTTGGTACTACCTACTCAACCTTGAATGTTCATATTAAACGTAAGTTTTCTTGCTCACTGTCAAAATTAAGTTAGGTCTGATGTATACAAAGGCAGATACCTAGGAATCAAATCTCAACCAAAGGATGAATTTTCTTTAAACATTCAAACAGAACTATTTTATCTACTAAGAACTATTTCCTTAAAATCAGTTCCAGCAAAGTGGATATATTTGGTAATTAAGCAGGAAAAAAAATCAGAGGGGTTCTCAGGGTGTCACTGTTTTTAAGATTTTGCTTTTAACACGAATACAAACTCACATTCAATAAAAATTCTCTGTGCTGACTTTTTTATTCAATTATTTCCCAACTTCTAAAAATTATTTTTTAATTTAAGGTTTGATTGACATTAATGGGACTAAATGAAATTTGCCTAAATCAACTCTAAACATACAGTAAGTTTATAAAGAAGACAGAGTAGTTTAATTCCTAGACAAGCCCATTTTAGAGAATTTATAATTAACTCAAGCCAACACTTTCACAAAAATATTCTGTTTAGCTACCTTTTATTTATCTGCACTGAAACACGTTCTATCTACTATTAAGACTGTTTTCTTCAAAGAGGTGTTGCCCCCAGTACCTGTGGGTTGGAAAGCTGCCTCTGTATTGCTGGAGGTGGTTAGCAGGTATTTAACCCTGGCAGACAAACATAGCATGGGTCACCTTCACATTTCCCTAGCTTTAGGAGGGGCAAATAAAGCACCATAAATGCTAGAAAGAAGTTGGCAGGCTTCAAAAGGAAGGGGAGGAAGATAACGTAGGACTAGGACACTACACATGAGTAAATCTCCCAATTTATGTCTCAGGCTTTTCATAATTCTATCTGTAACTGGATCTCCAGAGGGAAAAAAAGATGCTTCCAATAGCCTACCGGAGAAATCTCCTTATGCATGTGAAAAAGAAAAGGAATAAAGCATTAAGCCATAAAATAGCAAGTTTAGTGTAATGAAATTGAGGATATTTCTGGTCTGGTCAATATAATATAGACTACCTCCCTGCTCCTCTCCGCTAAAAACAATGACAATGGATGGAAATAACACAGCAGATGAACAAAAAAGGTGTTAAGGACACTTCTTACACAAGGGGAATCCAGCTGCATGAGCGTAGTGGCCAATGAGTGCCCACTTTCTCCTTTTATAGAGCATGACTGAGTTGGGCCTGCCCAGCCCACAGCAAGCCCTGGTCAACTGTGACCCGAGTATGCTAAAGCATAAAGAAGAGAGCATAACTTCCCTGTTTGGTTTCTCACAGGCTCCAGGGGAAAGGTTCTCATGGCCACCCACCTCCCTGTCTCATCTGAAAAGCTGTGCTAACACTGAAATGCACAGGGGACATGGATGCAGTAGGCAGAATAGCACTTTCCAAAAGTCATCCACACCTTCATCCCCAAAACCTACACATATAAAGGGGCTACAGGGCAAAGGGGAATGAAAACTTCCAGGTGAGATGGAGTTGATTATGCTCGATTGTTTAGTCAGGCACAATTTAATCACAAGGGCCTTTCTTCCAACATCAGTGTTGCTATAAGTTTAGAGACTGAAATCACTGTACATTGCTGGTAGGAGTGTAAATGGTTCAGCCACTGTGGATAATACATGTCAGTTCCTCAAAGAGCAAAACATAGACTTGCTGAATATCCAGTAATTCCCTTTTTATAAATTTACACATCACACCTCACCTCCCCGAAAACTGATACTCCAACCAGAGTATGTTCACACTATGTTCATACTAGCAGTTTCACAAAAGCCAAATGGTAAAACAACCAAAATGTTGATCAAGAATAAATGCATAAGCAGACTGTTTATTCAAATGGATATAAAAATGTATAAATAGAATATTATATGGTCACTGTAAGGAACAAAAGCTGATACAAGCTACACTGCAGGTGAACCATAAAACACTATGCTCAGTAAAGGTCAGATCCTACAGGCCACAAGCTATATGGTTCCATTTATACGTGGGCATTAAGAACAGGCCAATCCATGGAGAAAGAATGCAGCCTGGTGCTGGCCAGGGAACTGGGCAAAGGGTTCAAAGTTTTCTCTGGAGCTAATGATAATGTTTTGGAATGAGATGAAGGTGGTAGCTAGAAAACATCTTAAATGCCTAAGTGCCATGATTCTACATTATTATGAGAATTTCATGCCAATTAAAAAAAATACAAAATAAGTCTTTCCTCTAATCTTTGAAAGATACTTAAAAAGTCTGCTCTTCTTATCCTTCTTTAGCATGCTCTCTGTCTTTCACTCCGATGGCAGTACATGTTAACAAGTTATAGGAGAGGAGAAAAAACACAATGATAGAATGAAAAAAGTGAACCTTGAAAAATGAACAGGCACAGTCAATTAAAAAGTCTACTACATTCCTTTCTTCAGGCTAAAAGATACAGCAAAATCCAAAGATTTAACAAGACTCTACTGGTCCTGGCTGTTATCTCTAAACACATCAGAAAGTTAGTTTTAAGACATACAACATTGATAATCAGAATCTTTCTATGGCAATAAGTGAATCATGTATATAACATATTCATGCTATGTACACACTGGCAATTTTACATCAGTGCTCAGGCTTGAATCTTAAAGAGCACCTTGGGAAATGCGGACAAACTGTTTTGTTTATTTATTTATTTATTTATTTTGAGGAATGTCCGCTTTATTATGCACAGGTTACAAATTTTAAAGGGTGAGGAAGGGGAGGGCAGAAGGGAGCCTTCTGGCCGACCCCACACCTACCAAAGACGCTGCAATTGGCTGTATGACATGTCTATTTCTCTGGATCTTCTGGTCATGTCAGAGGTCATGTTCCAGGTGTACCACCCTTGACCTTGTAGCCATGTTGGAGGTCACACTCCACCATTCCACCCATAAACCTGAAGGCTGTGCCTCAGACCAAGGGGAGGCTAGGCTTAAGCTACACCCACTAGGCAGCAGGGCAGGAGCCTGGGGCGATCACCCACATCTCTCCCCTCTGCTTTTGGAACAAATTCTACCACAAAGACTTCCGCCATAAGGGCAGTCATAAGTCCTGTGATTCTAGGATGTCGGTGGAGACATTTGAGGGCAATAGTTAGCATATACCATCACACCGCAGGCAGAATGCCTACCACAGCAATGTTGAATGTCCTTGATATTAAGTCCAATACACTGTAGAAATTACAAGGTAACTTCACCAGGGACTGGAGACCCCAACTGCCTATTACCCATCTGGCTCCTCATATCCACTCAGGAGAATGGACCCTAGCTGCTGCCAGGAACAAAGGATGACGACTCTGGCTTCTTCATGCGGACAAGCTATTTTAAGCCAAAGTTTTCATGGTTATGTTTCATGTATTGTGCTGACTTCAGCAGCAGTGATGCTGACAATAAAATGAATAAACACTCTTTGGATTTCAATTTTCAATATAATTTTCCTATTTGCAACTACCAGAGAATTCTTTTAAAATGGAAATAGTTAAATTTTAGCAAATTTAAAATTGTATTAAATTTACTGGAATACATGTGTTTCCTTTCCATTCTGGAAGAAATTAATTTTGTGTTTTTATTCATTTCAAAATGCTCACCCTCAAATTACACTTCTGGAAGTTGCAGTGTCTGCTGAGCACAAAATTAGCTGTTTTGAAAATATATTCACAGTGTCCTGTGAACATATGCAGAAATTTACATCATGCTTACTAATTTGGAAAGAAAAATTATGAAACACTTAAATAGAAGATAAAACAATTGTATTACACATAGTCAGGTAGGTACATATTAAATATACTTGATTGCTGGCAATGTTTGAAAAAATGCAACTGTTGTGGATAACAGTCATTTCCTTCAGTTATAACTAGGCATTACATGTAATAATCTTACAAAAATGAAAATCAGAAACTTTCTAGCAATGGAATATCTATTCCAAATACAAAAGATAAATTAGATAATGCCACTCTACAAATGTTTACCCTTTAGATTGAGAAACACACACACACACATACTTGGTAGCACTTTCGTTCTTTGTTACACCACCACACAGATTCATAGTAAGTACTCTCATTTGAAAACACAGATATTTTACAACTTTCATGGTGCCCATAGCATTTAATAGAAATTGACACCTGGAACAGGATTACCTTAAGCAATCTAATCGCAGTCACCCAGCACGTCCTACTCTGCTCTCCTTCTGCACAGAGCATTTTCAGGTCTCGGGGCCCTCCTGCTTTGTTAGGCTAGAAGGCCACAGCACATGGTTTATCGTTAATGCATATCTTGAAGGTAATACCTGTTGAAATAAAAGCCACTAAAATTCTATATAGAAGAAAAAGCTACCTCTTTTCAAAAAGAAATGAAAAGAAACCCACTCTTACCTAAAAAGCTGAGACTTGCTTTATTCATCTATCAAAGTATTAAGCCTGTACCTTAAAGCAGAATCCGTAGTTAGTTGGTGCTCCGTGTTTTTTTTTGCCTGCCAGTGACACATATATATCACTATTGCCAAATTCGCTGAAAAATTGCAAATGTCGGGGTTCCTTCAAAAAGAAAAAAAGAGAATCACATATGAGGGTTGAATTAGATAAATTTTTTTTAAAGATTTTATTTATTTTTATTGGAAAGGCAGATATACAGAGAGGAGGAGAGACAGAGAGGAAGATCTTCTGTTCAATGATTCACTCCCCAAGTGACCACAACAGCCGGTTCTGTGCCAATCAGGAGCCAAGAGCCTCCTCCAGGTTTCCCACGTGGGTTCAGGGTTTCAAGGCTTTGTGCCGTCCTCAACTGCTTTCCCAGGCCACAAGCAGGGAGCTGGATGGGAAGTAGAGCTGCTGGGATTAGAACCGGCACCCTTATGGAATCCCAGCACATTCAAGGTGAGGACTTTAGCCACTAGGCTATTGCGCAAGGCCCAATAAGTATTTTTGCATTCTCTTTTTATGATTCTACTACATTGTATATTTTATACCTCAGACAAAAATTATTTTTAAAAATATTTTAAGCACAATGTCACAAAAAAGGAAAAGAAATTATAACACAACTGTCCTGACCCAATCAAGAATTAGACAACATTTTATTATTTAGTATTGAAAAACTGGAAGTCTTTGATATAACATATTTTTTCATTCTTATTTTAAACTTCCTGTTCTCTTTGCCATTTCAAAGAATCTGAGAGGGAAAAATACAGTAAGAATTGTTTTTTTTTTTTTTTTTTTTTTTTTTTTTTTTTTTTTTTTTTTTTTTTTTTTTTTTTTTTTTTTTTTTTTTTTTTTTTTTTTTTTTTTTATTATTGTTGCTTACATTGTATTGTGTAGTACAGTTTCATAGGCGCTGGGGATTCCCCCCACCCCTCCCATACCCCTCCCCCCATGGTGGATTCCTCCACCTTGTTGCATAACCATAGTTCAAGTTCGGTTGAGATTCATTGCTTGCAGACACATGCCTAGCATAAAGTTCAGCGTCTTATTGTCCAGATAAGTTCAGTGGCCTCTTGGGGAGACCTTCTATGGTCTGAAAATAGGTCTAACAGAGTAAAGATCCAGTCAGTTAAAAGCCCCAACGAGGCCACAGTATCAATATACAACATTATGGAATTAATTGACATAGTATTGGGTAAACAATATGTTAAAAATAATGCAAGTTCCCTTCTTCGAAACATCTGGGTTGAGACAGTATCAATGACAGGTTCAAAAAAAAAAAATAACAAACAACCAAACAAAAAATTACAGGTTAAATCAAGGCAAACATGTGGTATCTAATCTTTTGGGATTCGCTCATTTCCCTTAGCATTATAGTTTCCAGTTGTGCCCATTTAGCCACAAAGAACTGCATTTTGTTTTTTTTAATAGCTGAGTAGTATTCCATGGAGTAGATGAACCAAAGCTTTCTTATCCAATCTTCTGCTGATGGGCATTTCGGTTGCTTCCATGTTTTTGCAATTACTGATTGTGCTGCAATGAACATAGGGATGCATGTTGGTTTGTCGTAAAACAGGTGTTTTGGATATATTCCTAGGAGTGCTATTGCTGGGTCATATGGTATGCAGATTTTGAGTTGTTTGAGTGTTCTCCAGACTGATTTCCATAAAGGCTGTACCAATTTGCAGCTCCACCAGCAGTGGAGTAGGGTTCCCTTTTCCCCGCATCCTCGCCAGCAAGCGTCGTTGGTGTTCTTGTTTATGTGGGCCAATCTTACTGGTGTTAGGTGGTACCTCATCGATGTTTTAATTTGGATTTCCCTTATTGCTAGGGAGCTGGAACATTTTTTCATATGTTTGTTTGCCATTTGGACTTGTTCCTTTGTGAAATGTTTGCCCATTTCCCGTGCCCATTTCTTGAGTGGCTTGTTTGTTTTGGTTTTTTGGTTGTTTTGAAGTTCTTTATATATCCTGGAAATTAGCCCCCTATCGCCTATATCGTGTGCAAAGATCTTCTCCCACTCTGTGGGTTGCTTTTTTACTTTGTTGATTGTTTCCCTTGCTGTACAGAAGCTTCTTAGTTTGATGAGGTCCCATTTGTTTATTCTGTTCTCAACTGCTATTGCTTTTGGTGTCCTTCTTAGAAAGTCGGGACCTACTCCTAGGTCTTGCAGGGTATTTCCTACATTTTCTTGCAAGAGTTTGAAGGTTTCTGGATGTAGGTTTAGGTCTTTTATCCATGTAGATTGGATCTTAGTGTATGGTGATAGATGTGGGTCTATTTTTTTGTTTCTACAGGCTATCAGCCAGTTGTCCCAACAACATTTACCAAAGAGGCCTTCCCACTTGCTTGAGCTGTCATTGGTCTTTTTGTCAAAGATTAATTGGCTGTATTTGTGTGGGTTCCCTTTTGGTGCTTCTATTCTATTCCATTGATCTTCCTTTCTGTCTTTGTGCCAGTACCAGGCTGTTTTGATAACCACTGCTCTATAGTATGTCCAGAGGTCCGGGATTGTGATTCCCCCTGCTGACTTCTTATTTTTCAGGATGGTTCTAGCTATTCGTGGTTTTTTGTGCTTCCAGATGAACTTTTGAATCATTGTATCCAGTTCCGTGAAGAATGTTTTGGGCAATTTGATTGGAATTGCATTGAAAATGTATATTGCTTGTGGTAGTATAGACATTTTAATGATATTGATTTTGCCTATCCAGGAGCACGGGATGTTATTCCATCTTTTGAGGTTTTGTTCAATTTCCTTTTTAAATAGTTTGTAGTTTTCTTCGAATAGGTCTCCTACGCTTTTGGTTAGATTTATTCCCAAATACTTCATACTTCTCTCTGCTATTTTGAATGGTATCCTGTTGGTTAGATCTTCTTCCATCTTGGTGTTATTTGCGTACACTATGGCTGTTGATTTTCGTTCGTTAATTTTGTACCCCGCCACTCTGCCAAACTCTCGTATAAGTTCTAGCAGTTTCTGTATTGAGTCTCCTGGTTTTTCTATGTATAGGATTATGTCATCTGCATATAGTGAAAGCTTGACTTCTTCGTTTCCTATACGTATGCCTTTGATTTCTTTTTCTTGTCTTATGGCCTCTGCAAGTACCTCTAGGACTATGTTGAATAGCAGTGGTGATAGCGGGCACCCTTGTCTTGTTCCAGATCTCAGTGGGAAGGGTTCTAGCTTTTCTCCATTCAGTATGATACTGGCGTTGGGTTTTTCATAAATTGCTTTGATTATGTTGTGGATTTTCCCATCTATGCCTACTTTGGCTAGAGTTTTTAGCATGAAGAGGTGTTGGATTTTGTCGAAAGCTTTTTCTGCATCTATTGAAACTATTATGTGGTTCTTGTTTTGCTGTTTTTGGATATGGTTTATAACATTTATGGATTTCCGAATGTTGAACCATCCCTGCATCCCAGGGATGAATCCTACTTGATCCGGATGAATGATCTGTCTGATGATTTTTTGAATTCTATTGGCTAGGATTTTGTTGAGAATTTTAGCATCAATGTTCATCAGAGAAATAGGTCTGTAGTTTTCCTTCTCTGATGGTTCTCTGTCCGGTTTTGGGATTAAGGTGATGTTGGCTTCATAGAATGAGTTTGGGAGGGTTGCTTCCTCCTCTATTGTTTTGAAGAGCTTGTAGAGGATTGGGGTTAGTTCTGTTCGGAATGTTTTGTAGAATTCTGTAGTGAAGCCGTCTGGGCCTGGGCTTTTTTTCGTTGGGAGATCCTTGATGACTGTTTCAATCTCTACCTCGGTTATGGGTTTATTTAATTCTGCAGTTGCCTCCGGACTGAGTTTTGGTAAGTGGTGGGAGTCCAAGAACTTTTCTATTTCTTGGTGGTCCTCAAATTTGTGGGAGTACAGTTCTTTGTAGTAATTTCTAATTATTTTCTTAATGATTGCAGTGTCTGTTGTTATGTTGCCTTTTTCATCTTTAATGCTATTAATTCTCACTTTCTCTTGTTTTTTTTTGGTCAATCGGGCCAGTGGAGTGTCTATTTTGTTTATTTTCTCAAAAAACCAACTTTTTGATTTGTTGATTTTATGTATAGTTTTTTTGATTTCTATTTGGTTTATCTCCTCCCTTGTTTTGATGATTTCTTGTTTCCTATTGTGCGTGGGACTCTTCTGCTGCTGTTTTTCCAGATCCTGGAGGTGTGAGGTTAGTTCCTGTATTTGGCGTCTTTCTTGGGCCTTGACATGCGCTCCGATTGCGATGAATCTACCTCGTAGCACTGCTTTGGCGGTGTCCCACAAGTTTTGGAATGTTGTATCAGAGTTTTCATTGGTTTCCATAAATTTTTTGATCTCATCTTTGATTTCTTCTCTGACCCAATGTTCGTTTAATAGCATATTGTTCAATTTCCAAGAGTGCGTATACTTCTTGGGGAGTTTTGAGTTGTTGATTTCCAGTTTCATCCCATGGTGGTCTGAGAGGGTACATGGTATGATACTAATGTTTTGGAAGTTGTTTAGATTCGCTTTATGTCCTATCATGTGGTCGATTCTGGAGAAGGTGCCATGCACCGCTGAGAAGAATGTATAGTCTGTGGCCTTAGGATAAAAAGTTCTATATATGTCTACTAAGTCCAGTTGTTCTATTGTTTGTGTGAGCTCTGTTGTTTCTTTGTTGAGTTTTTGTTTCGTAGACCGGTCCATTGTTGTTAGAGGTGTGTTGAGATCGCCTACAAGAATTGTGCGGGTGTCTATGTCTTCCCTTAAGTCTGTAAGTAATTGCTTTACGTAACTAGGTGCATTAAGATTCGGTGCATAAACATTAATGATGGTGATTGCTTCTTGATGGATCATTCCTTTCACCAGTATAAAATGGCCTTCCCTGTCTCTTTTGATGTTAGTTAGAATGAAATCTATCTCGTCTGAAATTAGGATAGCTACCCCAGCTTTTTTTTCTCGTCCATTAGCGTGAAATATCTTTTTCCATCCCTTCACTTTCAGTTTCTTTGCATCCTTTCTGGTTAGATGCGTTTCTTGTAGGCAACAGATGGTTGGGTCTTGTTTGATGATCCATTCTATTAATCTCTGTCTTTTGATTGGTGAATTTAGACCATTTGTGTTGAGAGTTAAAATTGAGAGGTTGCAATTTTGCCCT